AAAGTTGAGAAATGAGCCGGAGGGCGTGAGAAGCAATAATTTACACGGGAATTGTTAAGCTTAGGTGTATATTTGAGTCCCGAAGGTATGTCTCGCTCTCCGAAAGTAAATATTTCGACGAAATAGGAGCGGAGAATAGAAGCCTAATTTTCTTGCTGTTGCTTGCCCTTGCCAAATTGTCTTAAAAAGCCGAAATTGAGATGCAATGCGAAAATTTCACTGCTTCGAAAAAACTCCATAACCGAAATTGAAAAGGAAACGAATCAGTATCGAAGATCTGCATCAAGATTTTATAGACAAGTAATAAGTTACAAAAATGAGGCTGGGCTATATTGAGTCGGCTAGTTTTCTACAAATTACGGATGTCAAAGCGAATGATAGCGTGTTAATGCTGTTAAACTTTCCACAAAGTATCGGGGAAAATTAAGAATTTTTAGAATAGGTACCATCAAAGAAGCTTCGGGTGGATTACGGTACTCCCTCCTCTCACCGCCCTCGACCCCGAAACTACCATCATCTGCCGTCGTTCACCTGCCGTAATCGTTTCGCCTGTGTGTCTGCCGGCTAGACGCAGAGGACGCCGCCCTGGTATTATAGGAAAAGAGAGGGGAAAGAGCGAGAGAGAGAGAACGAGAGAGAGACAGACAGAAAGAGAGAGCGAGAGAAAGAGAGAGAGAGTGAGAGAGAGAGAGAGAGAGCGAGAGAGAAAGAAAACCGGAAAAATTGCGGGAGCGAATACTAACGTCCGCAGCTAAGACCGGTTACGGTATGAATGGATGAAAAACCTGACGATCTTATGTGTTTGCTGTATTTTTCAAGGAAAAGTGCGATACCAATTGGCTTTATTATGATAACGACAATCGATAAAAATTAGAAGCTAATTACATTGAGAAACAAAAATACCGAAAACAGTGAAAATTGGGCTAAACCTTATTTTATCCCCCCCAGTCGGAAGTTTTTGGCTACAACTTTTTTTATTTTACATTATTGTAAGCTCAAATTTTCAAACTCTATAGCTATAGCGAATGGCGTTGCGAACTCCCGGCAAAATAAACGACAAGATCGAAAACTTTGCGCCTTCGGCTGGGGTGTTGGGGGGGGGGTTAAGGTAAAGTCGTACTGAAAATTGACCAGAAATAACGAATGTCTTTTACGATTATGCCCCCTCCCATAATTCAACGCTATGATCCTGATGATGCACGAACAGCAACTTCTGGATTTCGCTACCGTCTTCGAGTTCAACGGGACGGGTTAGAACGCAGAATTCTTTGTGCCCCAGCGTCCTGAAGCGAATGCTACCTTCGAAAATATCTCTTTTGCTGGCCTCCCACTCGTCAGTCATTCTGCTGACCAGGCGCTCCAATTTTTCGTCTGATATGCCACCAAGTGTCATTTCAAATTCAGGACATCGCAGGGCACTCAACGAATCGACGTCGTCTGTCTTGCACACAATGCGTACCACACGGGCATTTGCAAATCGAACCATTTCGGGCGTGATTCTTGGGGTCTTGAAAATCACATACTCATACCTCCGGCCCGTCATCTGGAGCCCCGCGCCCTGCAGAAATTGGGATATGGCTTCTGGCAGGCTTGCGTTATTTGGGAGCTTTGTGCTTCGAAAGCGGTTCAGCTCGGCATTATTATTGAGCTCACGACCATCCCGGTCATGGCCGCGACCCAGAATGACCAGCTTCGAAGGAACTGCCATAGCGGGTGCCGTGCGGTAGATGTCATACCCAGCGTTGTTGTCCGGCAACTGCTCCATCCTCTCCCATATGGGTCGACAAGTACGGGAGAAGCGGTACTGGGTGAATACGTCGGAGTAGTTGATCAACTTCAGGAGGCGATCTTGGAACGACCAGGGAAGGCTCCAGAAATCGAGCGGCGGTTGATCCAAGGCCATCCAAGCCATTCGATGTACCTAAATTAAAGTATAACTGGTGATCTTGAGCCGCTGCAATGAATTAAATCTTTTGAATTGGAAAACCATGTCAGGGTGCGATAAAAAGGGTTAGATTCAAGGGAAAGACTATTTATTTCAGAATTAGAGCGACCCGAGCAACATTTAACGAGCAACGAGCACGAGCCACTTGGTAAAGTTCAAGCCATTTCGTAAAGTGTTTCTTACCTGCGTTCCGGCGCAAACCTTAATAAAGTATAAAGTTTCTAGCCTGGAGCTTACCTTATTCAAGGAGTTTACTGTAAAGCTGCGGCGATATGCAGCGATATTTGCGCGAAAAAGTCTTTATTAGCAGAAAAATGTTATTCTACAGATAAATCTCAGACGCTAAGAAAAATCGCGCGTGTCGATGTAGCCAAGCTGTCTAGAAAATTGATAAGTGCACAGAAGTTAAATCAGATTTACAATAAGTATTATCAAAAACTTTCGTGTGGGATTACGGTGACTCGAAACTCTCGCCGTTCGCCCACCTGCCGTAATCGGTTCCTGTATGTCTGCCGGCAGACGCAGCAAAATGCAGAGTCCGGACATTAGCGAGAGTGAGAGAGAGAGAGAGAGAGAAAGAGAGAGAATGAGTGAGAGAGAGATAGACAGAGAGAGATGGAGAGAGATAGACAGACAGAAAGTGAGAGAGATAGAGAGAAAGAAAAAGATAAAGAAAAGCTAGAGGCTGCACGAGTTACGGTATCAAATGCTAATGTATTAATATAAAAAATAGTCTTTGTGTGTGCATTTGCATGCAACTTCCGTCCGTATGTTCCAATCGTATCTCAATCAAGGAAGAAGTTAAGAGCACGTATGATACGTCATTAGATGCGTAAACATCATGACACGCCTGCACGCATATGAAATTTTAAAAAATCAGCTGTTTTCGATATTAAAACCAGGTTTTAGTTAAAATCTTGCGCGGCCTCTTCGTTAGGAATTATTTTGACTGCACCGGAAGTGGGGGACGCCTATATAAGGGGGGAAGGACTTTTTGATTTTTCTGCACAGGAATCCAGGGGTTTATGCAAAGTGGTGAAGCATGGAGTATGAGACGGGGCCAGGGTTGAAAAGTCACGAAGCGGCTTTTCGACCCTGGTCAAAGGTTAATTACGTAGTGCGGTATTCTGTCGTGTGTTTTTAAACGATTTTTGCGACACCAATTAGCTTTATTAAGACTCGATAAAAACGTTATTGTAAAAAATTTTGCTTCATTATGATGGAGATCACTCGAAAAAAATGGGAGCTCCCAGAGTTCCACAGAAGTTCTGTGACAGAACCATGACATTGGCGCACGAATAGCAGCTTTTCCGCTGTAATAGCACAATCGAGAAACCTCTCTATGCGGCATTCGGCCCTGGTCAGGGCGTAGAATTCCTCATACGACTGCTTTGGATTGTACACGATCATCCCGTCGAGCACATCCCTCTCGCCCGCCACCCACTCGTCGGTGACCCGGCTAACCAGCCGTTCCACCTTTTTCTCCGACGCCTCATAGAACACCATTTGAAATTTCGGGCATTTCAGTGCGCTCATCGAATCGATGTCATGCCCTTTGTACACGACGCGTTCAAAGTGGTCGTTTGCAAATCGAACCATTTCCATCGTGATTCGTGGCGTCTCAAAAACTATTTCTTTGTATTTTCCGCCCGTTTGCTGCAGGCCCTCGACCTGCAGAAATTGGGAAATTGCTTCTGGTAGGCTGGAGTTTTCCGGGGCCCTAGAGCATCCAGCGGAAACTATCTCCGGGGTATGGTCCGGCACACGACCATCTCGGTCTGGACCACGACTGAGGACAACTAACGATTCGAGTCGCCTCCACCCGCGATTCCAGCTACAGATCACGTCGTAGCCTGCATGGTTGTCCGGTAACCTCGCCATTGTCTCCCGTAGATACCGACAAGTTCTGGAGAAGCGAAATTGGGTGAACACGTCGGAGTAGTTGATAAGTTCGACGAGACGAGCATGAAACGGTAAGGGGAGGCTGAGGAAATCCATCCGGATGGTTGCCTGAAAGTTTGAAATTTAATCATGTTTTAGCGGGAGATTCAGAATCAGAAATGATGCGCAACCGTCCAGAACGTGGTGTTAAAGCAAAAATTTGAAAAATTGGACAAAAGTTACATTTTATGCTGATCTTGAAAGTTTTTGATTTCACTAATTTTATCCTAACAAGGAGACGTTTTTAATGCCGCGAATTTAACGTTGAAGTTGATCCATGCCTAACTTGTCCAGAATTTTGCGCTTAATAGACTCGATCTTAAATATACCGGGAAAAGATAGACTCTTCCGCCCCCGTTCCCTCCTCCCCTCTTAGAAAATATTTAATTTGTAACAAAAAAATTCAGGGATTGACTTTGCCGCAATTTGAAATCGCGACCGAAATTAAAAAGGTCTTTAGTTTCATACTTAGAATGGCTAGCCATCACACAAAAAAAAAAACTCCAAGAAAAACACAAGAGTTTAATGAGGAAGAAAGACATGACCTAAAAATCTTGGAGAAGGGTTACGGTGACCTAAATGACCCCACATTTCCCGCCGTCCATTCAGTCATTTCTATGGCGCGCCCCCGCCCTTCCCCGCCGTAATCGATTCCCCTGCGGGTCTGCCGGCCAGACACAGGACAATTCTGCCACCCCGGATGTTTGAACAGCCATTAACATTTGGATTTCTGCCGAAATTGCGGTTTACCGGCTGTTTTATTGCCTTTTTGTCGTGAGGGTATTTTGGAAGCCTTGTGTGCTCTTCGATACCTATGTTATCTAGGGGAAAATGGTCGCGCAAAATCGGCAAAAACTGGAAAAATTGTTTTCAGAATAGTTTTAATGGCTTGTAAATTGTAATTTCAATGATTTTCCTAATTTGTATAAATTTAAAACCATTTATAGAAGACATTAGTGCGCGGGCTGTCTTTTTGTTATCTAGATTCTCTTTCAAATACTAAATTTGCATTTCATTTCGTGAACACACGTGATTAACATGACGAAATCCTAATCTTTGACCAAGGTTCCGCACCCCGAATTTCATCATTTTTTTTTGCGCCTTTCTCCGGCAAATGGCGGAATCGCTGGTGGAAGAGGACGGGCGGAGATTGCCATCTCAGCGGTTCGTTAGCCCGCGTTTATTTTCGATCTTTTGAGGCTAGACATAGGAAAAGCTGGCGCTAATTTTGGCTATTGACATTCGGGCTCATTTCTTAAATTTGACGATTTCCCTGTACCGGAAGAGTTTTGCGTTCGATTTGATTCGATTTCATCACAGCAAAATCGCCATTTCCCGAAATTTCCTTCTTGAAAACGTTTAATTTCCATTGAAACTTTTCGATTACTTTGAATAATTTAGTTTGAACCTTTAGAGACGAAAAGCCCCCGCAAGGAGGCAAGAAAATGGGGATGCCCTCGTCGGGGTTGTCCCTATTCCTCGGTCTCCTGGGCTTGTACGCCGTCGTCTCGTGGTTCTCCAAGACTTGGGTGAGTTCAGCTACAGATCACTTTTTGTAGTTACCGGCTTTATACTACTACGATACCTTAAGATACGCAATTTCAGGCCGAAGCGGTGACCGGCTACGAGCGCGGCAATCGGTACCGGATGGTCGCTATTGTAAAGGTATGGAACTTTGTAGCCTACCTGTTACTAATAACTAGTGTTTTATAATTTTTTTAGTGGTTTTTGAGCAGTGTAGAGTTACAAAAGATATTTTAAACATTTCTGAAAATCGAATTCTTAACCTTTTTTGGGCATTTTTCATGTGTATATTTCGGTTTCAATGGTTTCGATTTCGGTGTTTGACACTACGAGATTACTTGGAAAAATTGGTATCCCCCACTAAAGATCTCCGCCCTCCCCCGCTAATGGTCCAGTACCAAAAAACCCTTCAACCCTGTAGACTCTTCTATGCAGGTTTTTTAAGCTCGAGATCACGATGGGCGTGCTGAACATCTTCGTCTATAAGCAGCTGATGCAGTGGTTCACCGTCGACGACATGAAGCACTACGGGAAGTGCGCATCGACGGTTAGGGTTTGTCTTCGAAAAATTGGACGAACAGCAGGATGACTGAAAAGCTTATATTTTTAGCGGCGCACCCGTGAACGCATCTCCTGCGCCCTGCTGCTGTTCATCTTCTTGGCGCACGCCGTCTACGCGATGTACTATGCGCCGCCGTGGATGCAGTGGCTCTTCTTTGATTTGACGACGATTGCTTGCGGTAGGAATCTCACCAGAATTTTGGTATATAAAAATTTTCAGGCGTTTGGACGAACGTCTTGGCGTTCGTGTGCGGCTTTTTCCTCGTGAATGTCTTCATTGGACCGTTAAATGTGAGGTTTTCAGAAAGCATTGAGAGGACAAGCTGGAGAATCTCTTGAAACTAGCTGACGCTCTTTTTTAGAAAATCCAACCCTTCAACTGGCTGTTCGCCCAAATCGCTCGCGTCTCCTACCTCAAGGGGCTGATGTACGACAGGAGGGAGCAGATCAAGTTCACGCTATGGTTCAGCTGCCTGCTGTCGCTTTTGATGTGGTGGGCAATTTAAATAGCTTTCTCTCTCTCTTTCTCGCTCTCTCCCTCTCTCTCTATCTCTCTTTTTCTCTCTCCCTCTCTTTCTCTTTCTTAAAAAATGTTTTAGGTACGGCTGCGACAAGATCGTCGTCAAGGAGCGACAATTCCACATCCCAAACTACACCGGTGAGAAGCCGCTCAAGTTTGCTGTCATCTCCGACATCCACGCCGGCGCCAGCGTGTACAGAGATCAGGTGAGAGAACGAGGGAGAGAGAGGGAGAGAGCTAGGGTTTCAAGTTTCAAGACTTCATTTGCTGATCGTCTCCCCTCAATCGCACAATTCCAGGTCGAACGCGTCGTTGATGCCGTCCTCCCCCTCACCGTAGACGCCGTACTGATCGTTGGTGATATGGTAGATGGTGAAGCCTCCGAACTCACCGATCGCGTCTCGCCAATTTTCGCACTGGCACAGCGGTAATTTTGACTTGAATGGCCCTTTAAAGGCTACTCGTTCAGATTCCCGACCTTCTTTGTGACGGGCAACCACGACTACTACTACGGGAATGTGCAGGAGTGGATCGATTTGTACGAGAAGCATGGGATTCGAGTGTTGACAAACAAGTCAGTGATATCTCGCACGCCCTCTCTCTAACGCTCTCTCTCTCTCTCTCTTCTCTCTCTCCTTCTCTCTCTCTCTATGTATCCCTTTATCTCTTTCCCTGTATCTCTACCTTCTTGCTCTATGACATTTTTAAGGAGCAGTGATACCAAAATTTCGCCCAAATTTCAACATTTTCAGTGCTACCAACTTCCACGGCATCTGCCTGGCGGGTGCTTCGGACATAGCTTCACATAAGGCTGGGTAGGTAGAATTCCTTCTTCCAAAGCAAGCTCCTTTTGCAGTATCCGCTCGCAGGAGATGAACATCTCACTGGCTCTCTCCCACTGCCCACCGGTTGGTGAGGCCTCTCGCGTACTCCTGGCCCACAATCCAGCCTCTGTACGCGAGATAACCCGCGAGGATATGCCGACCATTGATCTCATGATATCTGGTGGGTTTTAGACCCAATTGAGGGTTGGCAAGCTAGCCGAGATCCTTTAGGAAGTCTGACAAAGGGGATTCAGGGCAAGCTAGCATAGATCATTTACGGAAATTAACGATATTCCCCTACTTTCTAGGCCACACCCACGCCGGCCAATTCTACGTCGTAATCCCGGCCGTCTACTGGATGCTGCCGTACTTCTACGGCGTCTACGACCTACCTGCGCCGTCGACCCACGGAAAATTGATGGTTACTGCCGGCTCGTTATACCAGGGCCCACCTATGAAGATGCTCGGCATGTCTGAAGTCTGGGTCGTCACGCTCAATGGATGATTTTTTGATTTTCGGCCCCCTAGTTTATAGAATTTTGCCTAGATTCTATGTCATTTTTGGACTATTATCTCTGGGGAGTACTGATTTGGAAGGGGATTTTAAAGGGGCTGGGAAGCCAGAAAATCTACTTTGAAATCGGCTAGGTCTCGACAATAACCGAAAAACGTTGAGGTTTACTTTTTAGCAAAAACCATCTAATGTAGCAGGAATTTTTACATGCACGGGCGTATTGCGGACGCGGAGCGTAAAATCCCATCATCTGGAATCTGGAATCGTGATCCAAGCCTTGCAGGCTCCCTAAAAAATTTGCCAGCAAAACAGCTTCGAAAACTTTCAAATCAGTGCTCTCCAATTCCCTCGGGTTTTTTTGTCGATTCCGTATTGTTATGTACAGTAGAATCTATTCCATGTCCCTCCTACAGTATTATTTCCGGTTCGTTGCCTTCACCTTTTCCAGGCCAGGCTGGTGTTTATTCTCTCCTTTCCACTCTCCTTTTTTCTAACAATTTCGTTCTACTTGACCCGTTGCTCGCCATAGATTCTATTTGTCATTTCTGGAGCTTTTACGGCAATTTATCCACATCTTTCATCGCGTTTCTATTGTCATTTGACCGAACATGATCTTCGCCCCCGCGTGACTGTGATATTTTTTGGTGGAATAAATATATATCGGCTCGTTTTTTTTAGCAAAAAAAAATTAAGAAACTAGAATTTATGACTCGCACTACTGCAAAAATTATGTTAGCAGTTCCCAAAGAAGCTCGGCCGGCTTGCCTCTTGATCGCTTTTACGAGGAATAAAATGCTCTATGCCTGTAGTCGTCGTGTGGCTCGATGTTCAAGCCGATTCTCGAGTTGCTCGCTCCATCTCCACGTCACCCCAATGTTCACCCTCTAAAAAATGCCCCATTGCACGTTCCATCCTGGCCAACCGCCAAAATCGAGGTACAAGTGCATTCCCGAGCTCATCCAAAACCGGGCCCAGGGGAAGAGTTGGCTCTCCCCGAACAAACCGGGTAGATTCCGTAAGGGTCCGGTTGACTCCCGGGAGCGAAGAGGGGAGAGTCATGTTACAAACTGCCCCTAAGGGTCTTAGCCTCCCCAAAGAGTGACCGGTTGCCGCTACACGACGCTACATGACACTCCAATTAACACCTCCCCGGTCGGGCTAGTCTCGAATGCTGGGGGTGCTCAAGAGGCATGCGATGTTGCTGAGCAGTGAGACAGGATGCGGTGAGACCGGAATGGTATGAAAAGTACCAAAAATGAGTTAAAGCAACGAAATCGGGGGTGAGCAGTTGTAGAACGTACTTCCCGGATTTCTGGTGACACCTAGAGGACCTGCCGGGCTGCCGAAGAACAACAGTATATCTAAGAAATCGACGTTGGCTTTTTTGCCTTTTTTGAGGGAAAAACATATTTACTAAAAATGGAACACGGAGCCTACACAGACAGGCAGAAAACTAGGAGGTGCGTGGCGTAGCTGAGCTTTCGTGCACCATGTAACACATCAACATTAAATTTTTTGACTTTCTACCGTAGCTCGTCCTTATCAGTGATTTAAATTATCATTTTCAAACGCAATTTATTTAGTTTTTGAAAGACTTTGATTATTTGCGGTGATTCCGTACCTTTTTATCGATTCTACGGCAGAAACGACGCTAAAGTATGTTCGAATACAGTATTTTTTTGCATCAAGAACCGCGTTTTTCAATCCGATTTTGTCACTTTTGGAATTTGAGCCGATTGCGTTAATCCACTTACCCAAAGCTTTCTTATAACCCTTCACCCCTTTCCCAAGGCACCAGCTGGTCCGGTATAATTTCCGGTCGACTCCGCGGGACGCACGAGAAAGGCTCCCCCACCACACACAATACGGTAATTGGTCGGTTCGGGACCGGCCATCCCCGCGCACTGGCTAAGGGCGGGGGCGGTTTCTTATGAAAAATTGGCGAGACGAAATCGGTCTTGACCGCCTGCCCGGAACCCGGGAGGTTTCACCCCCAAAGTGTAGTATCCCGTCACTTCGTTTTCTTTACTTGAGCTTTTTTTACTCTAAAAACTTTCTCGAAAGTATCGGTGGACGGTAATGGACCTATTTTCATGACCTCGAAAGTTGAAAGTGAAACTGGAGAGCGATTTTTCTGTTCTTGAACCCAGAATTTGATGGCTTTTTGATATTTGAAGTTTTAAACGTCTTCGAAATGGTTTTTTGTCACAATTCAGCGTATTTCTTGCTGCGTTTTCTGTTTTGCAGTTCTCTAAGGGCTTTTCAGCCCTTTTGCAGTCCGAATCGCCACCACGAAAACCTGGCCCCGATGCCCCGATGCGAACTGTGCTACAAATATTTGGAACACTATCGATAATCGCCAGAATCGGTGGGTTACGGTAACGAGTCGAATAAGGTCACAAAATTTAGGTTTTGCAAGCGTTAAAACGGTGCGAAATTGAAGATTTTAAAATCTACGTCATTATTTTTTAAGGCGATACCTGTCTCTCCAACCCCAATCTCCGTTGTTCCGTGGCTTCCGGAAGTTCCAGCTCTCCAAGTTACAATCCGAGCTGTGTGCCGCAAACCGGCGCTAGCGGTAGCGTCTACCAGTCTGGGCAGTATAACGGTAACACTGAAAATTCGAGACATTAAAATATTTTTGGCCATATTTCCAGGGTTCCTCGGTGACCACGTCCAAGCAAAAGCGTACTCCGGGAAAGGCGGGACCGCCGATTTTGCCAAAGAAGACCTGGATTTGCGATGTCACGACGATGCTTCCTGCAAGTAAGGGTTTAATGAAATCGCTAGAGCCTTTATTTAAAATTTTAGATGGCGAAACGACCCGAAAGATGAGCTGGATTGGGTGTTAGGGTCTGGGAATATCGATCCGGCTAAGTTGGCGTTGATTACCGGGTCTAATGTAATGCCAGGTAGGCCTCGTTGTTGCTCTTGTTCTCTCCCTTTATCGCACTATTTCTCTTTCTCTCTCTCCTATCTCCCCTTCCCTTTCTCTCTCGCTCTCTCGCTCCCTCTCAAGTTTATCTATCGCTATCTGCCATGCGCCTCGTAATCCCGGTGACTATTCCTATTTTTCTCTATATCATCGTTATCTTTTTTTTCTCTCTCTCTCTCTTTCCCGCTCTCTCTCTCTCTCACTCTCTCTGTCACCACCCCTTTAAACTCAAGTTTTCAGCCGATTGGTTCCTGATACTCGCTTCTGACCCCCGACCAAACTATCACGGCGGGGCCCTAGTTTCACCACCCATCGGTATCTCATGTTCCGGCAGCTAAACCAACCCTTAGGATGCCAACAATCCTCTGGGCTACTGTCCTTCCGGATGTGGAGGAGCAGAAGCCGGGTAAATACGAGTGAGCCGGACATTGATATATGTACCAGAAAGTGAGAACTTTGTGGATTCCACCAAAACCTTAAATTTCTTAGGGTGCCGGAAGAAACACTGGAAAATTGTCTAACAGTCCAGTTGACGGACAATCATACCATCATAGCGTCGATACCGCCGATTTTTGAACCCTTTGAGGTATGTCGCGTTTATGATTTAAAGCTGTTAAAAATAATGATACCTAAAAACCTTCGAAAAATTGTTTGCAGATCGTCTTGCGAGGCTACGATTTTTCCAATACCCCAGAGGGTGGCTTACTAATCCTTGATGGTATTGACTACTTTGCACACCTCGATACCCCAGAAAACTGTGTGGGGCAGCAACTGGATTCCGATACGGAGCTCGAGCCCTTTACCGAGGTGTCTAGCTCTTAATACCGTAAATATGGTGTTCTTCCAGGCAGAAAACGCGACCCAAGTTGACCCCAGTCTGTTGGAAAATCAGGGGCTGTCTTTCACAAATGGTGTAAAAATTACTAATGCTGTAACGCCGGCCTCACCCTTTGATGATGTTGTCACGACCGATACTTCTTTGGTGGAGTTGTGCAGGTTTGGGAGAGAGCGAGATGTAGGGAGAGAGAGAGAGAGAGAGAGAGAGAGAGAGAGAGAGAGAGAGAGAAATAGAAAGAGAAGCAAGACCATTAGAGAATCTTTAGTATGCTAAATTGCGGTTTCGATCAACCTCCGCCATGCCGTTACAAACCTATTGGTACCGATGCGGAAGGTGATGGAGTCGGCAAGGGATGGAAGGTGCGTTAGACAGCGTATTCTAACGTACTAAACGTACGATTCATCTGATTAGCCGATTTTTAGCCCCTTACCGCACCCCTAAACATCGCCAACCGATTGACCGGGATCCATCTGCCGCCTGGAACTAAAGGTATGGCTGCCTAAAAACATAGCGTATACGTAAAAATGTTGAATGATTCTATTTATTCACTTTTTCACACTACCTATCGATCGAAATTCTATTTAGAAAGTGTCGAAAATGGAACAGGATCTGACAACTTATTCCTGGTTGCCGAATTCTCGGGCTTCAATCGAACCCGTTTGCAGCATAAATTTGTCCTCGAGGCCCCAGACTTCCAAATCGACACCACCGATACAGGTCTTCAATATCCTTGAAAGTTAAAGGTACAAGAATTTTAGTGTTCTTCGGTTTCCAAAAGTACCTCTCTACGCAAGGCGTGGAGTTGACGCTTTGTGAGGATACAGCTATGAAGGTAGGTCTTCGAAAAAATAAAAAATGGGTTTCAAAAGACCAGCCTAGCTAAGCTAAGAAGGCAACACAACAACTAATCAAAGCTACCGTATTGCAGGAGTGTTTTTGGGATAACTTTCTACACTCGGCGGAACCGTTTGCCCGTTCCTGGACTGAAGAGGTTGTAAGGTTACCGTCGAATCTGAAAAAGGTAAGGAATGGGGCGAGAGAAAACGAGAGAGTCGGAAGGAGAGAGTGAGAGAGCAAGACTACGATAAAAGACCTTACATTCTTTCCCTAGCCTGACAAGCAAAGTAATCCATTTAGTTCTTCGTACTGGCCACCCAGGATCCCTCGATACCAGCCAATAATGGACAGGTCGGGGTGGCGGCGTTTCGGCTGTACTCTGATGCCGATGGTCAGAAGCCGCTTTGCTGAGGTCTTCAACTTGAGGGCGATTTTTGCTATCGTGCGTTTGCGTTTTTTTACCCCTCCAAACATTCCTCCACTTCACCTCGTTGGCATTTTTTGGCATTTTTTAGTGTGTGATAATCTAATACTTTCTTTCTGGTTTTGTATAGGTTCTATAGGACGTTCTTTTCTAATACGTCTTAAACTTTCAGATTCTTCTTTATTAATGTTCATACTTTTCTAATTTATTTTCTGATCGATTTTTTTTTGAAAATTTAATGTTTTCGATACCTTTTGGTATAATTTGTTTCAATTCTGTGATATTAACCGTATATTAACCGTATATTAACTTGTTATAATGGAGATGATGATAGTTATTGGACAAAATGCTGAATTTTGTGTAGATCTGGTTGATGACTTAAAAGACGATTAAATTATCTTTAAATGTATTTTACCTATATGTCCATCTACACGCTAATTCCTGCCCTCCTTCCTCCTTGTCCTCCTTTTTGTTCTCGCCGCGGGTCAATTCAGTGTATTTGGCTAACCAAATAAGGCAATTTCCGGAGGGCGCCCGTCCCGTCCCGACTCGGCTCGGGATCTCCCCCTTCCTTTACCCCCATTCCCACCAAATACACACAATGCTTTTCGTCTCCATGTTCTCACCACCCATCAAACTGCAATTTGTAGCTTGCGGAAACCATGCTATTTTTGTGGTTTGAACCTACTCGCCTGATGCCTTTTATGCCCAGTTTTCTGCCCATTACGTGGTTTTCTCTTGGTTTTTTTGGAATAAATTGAGGCTATCAAATCCGGGTTCCGCGACGATTAAAAAGGAAATTGTGAATTTTGGCTTGTCTTGATTCTTTGAATTCAATTTAAATTTTCTTCGCTACGCGCCAAACGGTTAATTTTCTTCGACGCTATTTTGTAATTAGATTCCAAGCTTAGCAACTCACTTAAAAAACAAATTGTAGGTAGATTATAAAAAAAGATAAGATATTACAATGGGTTTATAAAACGTTACCTCGGAAATTCCAAAATAGAAACGATAAACGGAACAAATAATCCTGGATTTCAAAGAGCACGAAGACACGAAGCCATACGATCAGTATTCCTTGATACTTCGGAACAAATAATCTTTTAAAGTACAGATTAAGGAAAACTTAATAATCATATTTTGAAAAACAGAATATTGATGCCGAAATAAATTAAGATCCAAGAATTTTTTCGAAAAATAAACTTAATTTCAGAGGTTAGTAATTTTGGCAGATCCCGAATCGGGTCCGAGCCCAAATGTCCATTCTTGAGCAACACAAATCCGGAGCCAAGGAGCATCTATCATTGCCGTTGCCAAGTCACTTTCAACAATCAGTTTTGTGCAAAGTCGTTTAGAGCAAAATATAACCTAGCGTAGCGTACGGTTACGTCGTTACAAGTTTGCAAACTTCGAAAAATGTGGGAGAAATGGCGATCTAAAGCCAAAAACTCACCACTAATGATTCTGTTTTTGTAAAACAGACAGAAAGTTTCATTCGGCCCAACATAACCAGTTGGCAGCACTCAGAAATATGATGGAAATGGCGATGAGCATAAAAATACCGTTCTCAGAGGTCAATTCCCTAGAAAAACAGCGCGCAATACGATTCGATCCAACGATATTCCGAAACTGTACCTCAGCACCAACCAAAATAATACGGAAAATCCAGCAGCTGATCAGCGCCCAGGCGGCTAAACCACTCTCCCCATTTGCAAGTAATCCGGGGGATGAATAAAGAGGGCTGGCCCGACCCATTTAATCCAGGGGGTCCCTCCATCCCTTTTTCTTTTCTTTTCCGATGTGATACACACTGCACTCCCGATTTGAAGCCATTGTCAACTAGTAGGCAGCTTTCCCCTCCATGGCCACGGCCAGCCAGCCCTGTCCAAATCGATATCAGCACCTGAATTTCTGTCGGCCCCATCCTATGCTGTGCCAGGGATCCGGAATAATATTTTTGTCGATTTTGGATTGGACCGGATGGTGGAATTTTTTTGTAGTTTTCCATTGTTTGATAGTCGGCGAATGAAAGCGATCAGAAACGTCGTATACTTAAATTTTCGAAATCCAAGTTTCTGTTAATTCTCGCATTTGATTAGCGCATTTGATACTTCATAAATGATTAAAAATAACCAAAAATTTAACGGTCCTATATACCTTACATGTTATGGGCTCGCTCTCTCGCTTTCTCTGATTTCCTCTGGCTCTCTCTCACTCTGGTTCCCTCTCCGTCGCTCGCTCTCTCTCTCCCTCGATCTTTTGCTCACTTATTCTCTCACTGTCATTAGCTGTCTGTCTCTCTCTCTTTCCTTCTCTGCTTCTTTGTTTCTGCAGCTATTACTTCACTCTTTCTTACATTCTCTTTCCCTCACTCACTCTCTTTCTCCCCCTCCTCGCTCTCTCTCTCTCTCTCTCTCTCTCTCTCTCTCTCTCTCTTCTCTGCTATCTCGACTTTCTCTCTTTCTCTCTCTCTCTCTCTCTCTCTCTCTCTCTCTCTCTCTCTCTCTTTCTCTCCCTCCCTTTCTCGCTCTCATTGACTTAGGCTCCCTCTCACTCTCACACTCGCTGTCGCCCTTTGTCTCTGCCTATCTGGAACTCTCGCTTTCTCTTAACTCTGCAGAACTTTTGTGTAATTGCTATACATCTGTCTAAAATTCATTTATGTCTGAACCCTTTTAATTCAAAAGGCTACGAAAAAGCGTACCGAGAGTTGCAGCAGAAGAGCTGGGTGGCCAATTTCAAATGTGCGCAGCAGTGCGTCGGTCCGAAACTGGGAGTAAAAGTATATCAATTAATTCCCAGCTGCACGCCTCAAAATTAGCGCAATCGCGCACGTCGGCTCGTCAAAAAGACATGCAAAGCGCATAATTTACGTGCCGGGCGACCGATACGGGGGCTCCATCCGTCGCCCAGGGGTCCCATAGAATTCTAAATTTTCCGAATCACTCCATTATGCGATGGGACCTATGGGAAGGGGGATGAGAGAGAGAGAGAGAAAGAAGGAAAGAGAGAGAGAGAGTGAGAGAGAGAAAGAGAGAGAGAGAGAGCGCGGGAGGGCCAAGAAAAAGCGCATGATGCTTTCGGGATACGAGAATATATCGTGTCAGGGGTTCATCGCCGGCGACCCGAGACACTTCTCGAGAAGCTTTTAGCTTTCCCAATTTTCCGAGTCGATACTTTTTCCACGGCCAGCTGATGTTAGTATAGTATTGATTTTTTGGTTAATTATGCCTTGTTCGATGGCTATTAAATTTTCGAACATTTTCTGGCGTTTATTTAGATTTTCCAGCGACTTTAATCGATTTTATTTTGTCTGTTAATGCGTTTTTGGATTTTTAAGCCCCTAGATAGAAATTGAAGTCTTTTAACTCGTTAAAATCCCTTTTTCACCTCCACTGCTTGAAAAACTGGCTACGGATTTGAAAATCTGGTTCTTTAAAAAACCGAATGACATTTTTGAAAATTCTGACGTCTTCTGGTTCAAAATTGATTTTTTACATAATCCAATGGTAGTTTTGAGGCTGAAAACAGCCCTTACAAAATTCTGCATGCCCTAAATCGATCCGCTAAAAGGGCGTATGGAATACGCAGCAGCCCTAATGAATTCCTGTATCTCAACGATGGCCCACAACCCCGCGACGCATTTCGATGCGGCGATGCGTTGCTGGCTATTTATTCCCTGCCCCTTGCGCTATTCATTTATGCGTTTGTCGCCGCGCCTAATTTCGCCGTTTTCCTTTTGCTAGATGGCAACATTTGGAGCCTTTTTTCTTAGCGTTTATTACTCGCGTCATGATTGGAGTTGCTTTGGAAGTTCGGATGTGGTTCTAATTTTAATTCCTGCAAGTCATTTCTGCCTGAATTTTTTAAATTCTTAAATAATCTTAATTTTCAGCTAACTTCGCGACAATTTCAACAAGATGCGGGTCATCAACGTAACACAATGGCCACCGGTGGGTTCCCTGAAAACCTTCATTTTTTTCTTTTATCCGCTCCCAAAGCCTGATGACTTGCAAGCCAACCGTTTATAATTTTACGATCATCATTTGTTAGGTTACCTTAAACTTTCTCCGAAACAAGCTACTTCAATTGTCACTAATTTTTGCGGTTTTTAGACTTATCTGAGCGCTCTACGCGACTCTATATAACACTTCATCGCCATGGGTTTTCATTTTTGTACGCATTTTCGTCCCTAAACAGGATTTGCTCAATGGACGGGTTTGCAAACATACCTTTGAATACAAACTGACAATGATGGATGACCTGGACGCAACTCTCAATTGATTGGATGGAACGATGTTTTTAATCCCCTTTTCGGTCATGTTAGCCATTGGAATAGTCGATCGGGGGAGGAATGGCCCAAAATGAGGCCCAAATGTCGTTCGTGTATTCAAGGGGCGAACCGGCATCGTTTGGGCCGCCTAATTAGGCGGACACGAATGGGAGGAGCGCTCGGTTTGGCTTTTATGCTGAATGTGGAAGCCATTACATTGGAAAATCGGTCTCGGAAATCGGAAAAGAAAAGCGGAAAATATTCAGCTAAAGAGTAAATCACTATTTTGGGGTTTTCGAATTACCAAGCGTAACTGGTTGGGCGATTGCCAAAACGTGAAAAACTGGGATCCGACTTACTAGCGCCACTAAAATGCACTATGATCGAGAACTCAAGGCTGCAAAATTTCTATAAAATTATGTTTTTGGAAACCGATTTCGTGCCCATTCCCTTCCTCAATTCCAGTCAAATCTCTGACCACTGAAATTCCGCCGTGCACCGCAGCGTACGCACCTCCTTCTCCTCCCCGGTTGCCTATTAGCATTCATCCGGGACCCAATTCCCGGGCACCGCCAAACGAAGGCTCAAATCCAGCCCTTGTCGGCCCCATCCACGACCCCTTCAAGCTGGGGTTACGCCGGCGGAAGTGCGGATATGTTGCGGGCAGTCAGGCGAGAGAAATTGAGTAGAAGAGAGAGACAGCGCGTGAGA